TTTTAAGTGGTGGAGCTGCAATACTGTGCATTTTACTAGTATTATATTTTACTTGTAGCATGCTATAAGTTTTCATGGCGGCCTCAGAAGGCCTGTCAGACAAGTAACTGTTCTGTGGAGTTTACAATCTAAACAGGATGAATACAAGTTAAATAATTAAAAGACAGGGTAGGAGCAGAGAGTCGTAACTGATCTGTGGTGGATCAGGGTTTCCCCCAATATCTAAAGTGCTGTTCATCCAGCAATCTCAAAAGGAACAGATGCGATATCTTTACTCACATTGAGTAGTACTATACCTTACTCTGATTAGTTTCCTTGATTTTAATGGAACATGGTTGGAATTTGGAATTGTGATTTGTCACATGGTTAGAGCCCTGTGGGGAAAAAAAACAATTCCAAATACTAGTTGGAAATAATGAAAACAGCTCAGTATTTACTGTTAGAGAAATTGTGAGAGGTGGAAGCCAGCATCCATGCACACTGGTCTTGTGCTCAGTGCTAGTAGTGCATGTTCCAAGCGACAATGCTGGCTACTGTGCCTTGCAAAAGACAAAAAGAAGAGATGGAGTCAGACAACTTTAGAATGGGGTACATAAAGGGGTCCCTGAGGGCTGTTTGTACCACACTGCAACTTTTCCCCCCACTTGAAGCTGCATGTCCTTCTGCTGGATTGCTTTCATGCAGCCAGGACTCAAGCCACCTGGCTGGATATGCCAGACCTAATAATTTCAACTCTGTCAGTAATCAAACTGCTACTGAGAGGGCTCCTGCACTGGGACAGAATGAGGTACACTTTGGGGATGATCCAAAGCCAGATTCTCAGCATGATGGTATAAGCATGGCTAGCTATAAACACAAAACAAACACACACAAATACAAATCTGTTTTATGGGCTAGCACTGGGCTATGAGGATCACTTAACATTTACCATGCCTGAGCTTTGCCAGGACTTAGCTACCAGAGGTATCTGTAAAAAGGCCACCGGAGCCTTTTTCCACAAAGGATGAAGACAACATCGCCTGTTAATACTTTCTTTTCTTGTTACAAAGTGCAGAAGATGGCTCAGCCTATTGTTCAAGTCAATGGCTAAGAAATTCACTTTCAATGTGCCCCACTGGAAGACGGTCTAATACATCACTTTCACTGGTCCTGAGACCACTTGTCCTAAATCATGTTCCCTACCACAAGACTCTGTGCTCAGTTTTATGTACCAGTGCTTCCTTGTACTATGCCAGTCTCTGAGAAACAAGGCTAGTCTTTGGATAGCTGATCATGAACCCAAGGATACTTGGTATGTGCTGGATAACACAACAAATGACAAGATGCAACATGTTCATAGTGGTAGATTTGTTGCCTTAATAAAACCTGATATACACCGATTAAAGCTTGCCTAATGACTGGTGTCTAAATGAGGGTATGGAAGTCACAATGCCTCAACAATACTGGTCAGTAGGTGTTGAGACTACAAAGGTGTTTAACACATGGAGCTTTTGGCTGAATAAGGTTGAATCTATCATCATTGACCTAAAAAACTCAACCTGGAAAACTGGCTTAAAAATATTCACGGCCCACACATGAAACTCCAGCTCCCATTGGTGCTGTCTGCTGGATTCTAAATTGTAGTTACTGATTAGCTAGTACTTTGACACCCTCAGCTGACAGCACCAACTGCACTAGCAAACCTGATGTGCCAGTTATCTTACAGCTCCACAAAGGCATGAATATGCTGGCATAGCTACAGCAGCAGTAATGTATTCTTGTGCTGAGAGGTGTACAGAAATTGATGTCTTAAAGAATTGGTACCTGGATGGCCACTATCATGCCCGACAAGGTGCAGAGGCTCACTTCACCCAGTGAAATCCTTTATAAAATAAGATGCGATTACAAAGCACAAATACTTTGAGAGAGGCTTGCTGAGTTGCACTTTATGGGCACCGATACTTCATAAGGTGTTAACACAGCAGCAGATCACAGTTTATATTTTACTTTGGGCTCTTAGATTTATTCCTGGAGCTCTGAAGCGGTTCGTGCCACTCAAGCCAAAAAAATACCATGGCACTATTTGAGGCATCTGTGGTTTGATGGGAGATGCAGGGGAAGAAAATAGCTGGAATTTCAAAAATCAGTGCTACCCAAAGTAGCTAAACATGCTGGAGATGCAGGAGAACAGAACTGCCAATGCTTTGAAACTCTAAAAGCAACACCAGACTTAGTTCAAGGTAACAGGTTTGTGTATTAAATTATGGACAAGACTAGAGCTTGGGATAGGCACCAGGAAAACTGAAACAAATGCATAAAACCAAACCAAAAAATTAAATTATTCTACAGAATTACATTCTTACAGCAAAGTGAGATTTAATAAGAGATCAGATTTTTATTTCATAACTAAGTGAACAGCATAACAACATCACCATCTTTTCACACTCACATTTTAAAAATAATTATCTTCTCACCAAATGACATAAGGGAAAGATTCATTCACTGAAGATACATATTGCTATTACAGACCAAGGCTCTATTATCTAATGAATTAAAAAAGCAAAAAACAAAAAACCCACAAACAAAATCCATGGTAAACAGCTCACATTTTGAAACAGTGACTATACAATAGTATGTATTAGAAACAAACACTAAGAGCCTCAACATTTGATAACTGAAGTACTTAACAAGCTCAAAGTAGTTCATTCTGTAAAATGACACTTATACTATTTTAAAAATATTTAATTTCCTAACTTGAATTTGTCAGCATCTTTTAACACAGAGAATGTTGGATCTTGGGTTTGGTATGTATAGCACACCCGCATACTTCCCTACTATTTCATTAATTATACAATATATGCCTAATACACAAGAGCGAAAACTAAGTTATTTCAAATATACCTATCACTCTAGTACCTAGGCACCACTACTAATATGAAATATTTTATCACACTGAATGCACATGATTATCTATATTTTAAAGGGCTTATAAACAGACTAACTATCCATTACATACATTTACACTAACCTGTTATCTAGTTTCAAGGGGATTTTCTATATGTTGCAGTAAATACTGTACAATAGAGGTATGAATTCCTTTCTTTAGGAGTCATTAAAGTGTAATTTTGTAACCACTAATCACAAAACTCTTCAAATTAATCAACTAGATTACTTTCCCCCAAAATTTCCTGGGCTTGGCAACAGAAACCAAAGCTTGAATTGTGACACTATTATTTAACACATTGCACCACATTAAACATTTACTAGAAGTATCAACCACTATATCAAACCTCCTTTTTGTTTTTCTCCTCCTCCATAGGTTCTACTTATAATAAATACCTGTTCAGCAATGTGTCCTATCAAATTACAAGTTTCTCAAGAGGCTGTATCTAGTAATGTTCAGATAAGTTGTACATTAATTGTGAGTTCTGCTTTTGCTGTTTATTTTTAAGACCTTTGTAATACCCAAAACTCAGTGACTTGGCTTCCTATCTGAATCACATTTTCCAAAATTCACATGTTAACACGCTATGTCATCTTCTATATATTGGCTAAAGAGAATCATGATGAAAATGAATTCTTTCCTTTGAAGCAATTCCAGATTGCTCTAGAATGGACACTATCACTATTTTGCCTGATGCACCTTTCACAGAACTTCCTTAAGTCCTCATACTTAACTACTCCCAGATCCAGCTCAAGAACATTGTCAGACCTGGCACTATCAGTGAGCTCCTCTCAATTCCTGTTAATTCTGCATTCTCTTTCTGAAATGAAGAAACAATGATACAAGGCCCAAGTGATACCTTGTATTTCTATAGCACCTTTAATCAGTTCTGACATCATGCAACTAGCCAGTGAAGCATTAGGGAGACAATATTGTTACCACTGCTCTTCAACTGCTAGCTCAAAAAGTATTTTAATTTTTTATTTAGAGGCATAGTAGACAGTAAAAAATAAAAATAGCAGCTAGGAAGTGATTTAACTTACCTCCTCACAGGAGAGTTAGAGATTTAAGACAGTCTCCCAAAATGTTGGAAACTAAGCCCTGCTCCCCTAGGAAAATGAAGTCAATCATATGCCCCTCTTCAACCCAACCATGTGCTGTTAAAGACCTACCCAAAATAATTGCGCAATCAGATTAGATTGTGTAAATCTTTCAATATCTTCATCTGCTCTCAAACTTCAGTGAAATACTTGAAATGTCAACAATGCTAACTATCATCATTTAAATGAATGGGGTAGCCTTACATCAGACCTTTCATTCCAGGCTCCCTGCAAATACAGGCAGACACTGCATCAGTCACACTGTGGTCACATTTTTAAGGTTTTCCATAACAGCTAAACAGCACACTTTTTAAAATGAAAGCTGAAATCACAAAGAACAACAGAGAAGACTCTCTGAACCCCTGCAATAGCCCTTTGTGCTCTCCGTAGGGGGGCAACTCAACACTTTGGGAAACCATGAATCAGGGTATGTTGGTAAAGTGCACTGAAATACTCATCTCAGCAGTGCTGCATAGAAGGATTCAGTTTATTAGAGAGAGAGAAATAAATTTAAACAGTAGTAGTAATTTAATCCCAGCACCTCAACACTGAGGATAGCATCTCATGGACTGGGCATTGCCCCCTCCCACCGCACCTGTGAAACCATCAGTGGGCATGTGGCATCTGAATAGCACTTGGGGATCCCACACAATAAATACACATAAGTACATGAGATCTATGCAGTATACACATATACCAACACCCCAGATATAAATACACATACCATATACCTCTAGAATACATAAATATTCAAATTTATTGCAGGTTGCAGTGGGGGTACTTGAATATTTGCCTGCTTTTTCCTCCCAGGTCTTCAATTACCACCCCTCTTCCCCCGTAGGGTCAGGGACTCCGGGTCCCTCTGCCCTCCCCCCCATCCATCCCTTCGCCTCCCCCACAGCAGCGGGGGCTCCGGGTTCCTCTCCCCCCGCATTCCTCCTCGTGACCGGCAGGGTCACGAGCTCCGGGTCCCTTACCTAGGACAGTCCACTGCAGGTCCCCAGCGCCGGGAGAAGAAATGACCGGGGGCCGCCTGACACCCACCCCGCGAGCCGAGCGCCTCGCTGGTCCCGGCTCCAGCCCAGGCTATTGCCCACAGGAGCCCAGGGGAAGCGGGAGGTCTGGAGCCCACACCGAGGAGCCGCCCTGGGTGAGCGCGGTGCTGCCGGGCGGGGCACCCCAGGCCCCTGGCAAGTAGCTGCTCTTCCCGAGCAGGAGACAAGAGAGAGTAGCGATGGCCAGGTCCCCGCGCCGGCGGTTACAGCCACATCGCCAGGCCACAGGAACAGCGGTTATTTTCAAATCGGTCTCAGGGTTCCATGGGCGGGGGGAGCGCGAGGTGGCGGTTACTGGGCTGCGCCGGCGGTAGAACACCGGCGCTGCCGCTGTAGCAGCTGAAGGGGCTCTGTAGCTCCCACCGCGCGCATGCGCGCCGCGCTCCACTCACTACTATCCACAGGGGCGGGGCGGTGCCACTACGGCTACAAGGTGCAGAGCATGCGCACAAGTAGCAGGGCGAGGGGCATGCTTTGCAGGCGCAGCTGCGTAATAGGCAGGGTTTCTGGGCAGATCCTGCTTGCTGCTGTTGCGGAGGAGTCGCAGCTTCTAACTCGGACTCTGCTCCTGTTGGTTGCTGAGTGCCCTAGGAGCCGGCTGAGGTGCTGCTGCTCAGCCGTGGAGGAGACTATTGGCAGCGTGAATCGCTGTGGCCTCTGTGACAAGTCAGTCATCTGCCGTTAAATACAATGGGGGAGGGGGGGCGTTTCTCTCCCTTTCCATTTGCCCAGCCCGCACAGGAAGAACTGGGTGCTGGGCGGAGACCGGCGTTTCTGGGAGGAGGAGGCGGCACACCCAGCGTGGGCCAGCTTTGTGTGTTTTCCCTCCGCGCCTGTCCCAGGGTAACGAAGGAGAGTGACACTAATGGCAGCAGCCTGTCAAAATGTCCTCGTCACCGCCACTCAGCCAGCTGAGGTTGCACACGCTCCCTGAAAGGGACAGCAGGATCCGCCAGCGGCAGGGCTCTGTTACATGCCAGCTGACCCGGGAGATGCCGGGATAGGCTGCGCCCCCCCCCCCCTCAACTTACTCATTAGTATCAACACTAGACTATATGAGTCAAAACTGTGGCAGGCAGAGGTAGGTTCGTAAGTTTTTTTTCCGCCTTTGGAGGTCATACGAGGTTGAATAAAGTAATCTGGATTATCATAATCTTTCCCCCAGGGAACAATGTACCCCGAGCCCTTAATCAAGGCTTTATCCCCTCACCTCGCCCTGCAAAATTGATTCAGCCCTGGTGTTTTCAGTACCAACTTCCCTCTATTTCACTGCCCAAACCTTGAATTCTTTTTCTTCTAAATAGCAGCCCTTCACAAGAGCACTGCCAGTTTTGGGGATGTTTGTGACATTTCTCAGGGCACCCAGTACTGAGAGTCACCTTGTTACTACCTGCCTCCAGCATGAGAGAATCTTAATTGTGCTAGCTGAGTGTTAGCTCCCTACCACAACCGGACTGTCAAGCACTCTCCTATGGACCAGGCCCTGATTTTGCCTTGCTGGTTGACAAAAGATGCACCCCAGGCCCGAGTCCCTTCAATGTAGCTCCCTGGAGTGTATAGCTCCTGATCACTTGATACCCACAAAAATCCCAAATCCTCTATTCTCTAAGGAACAGTGTATCACAGTTTACACCCCTGCTCCTGTAGTAGGCACAGCACTTGAGTTTAACTATAAAACAAAATTTTTTTTTTAAAAAGCATGAGACCTATTGGTCCCCCAGCCTCTGTCTGGAGGAGTTGGACTCAAGCCACTCTACTGTTTTGATGTACACACCTAGAGAACATAATTTGTAGTATATAAACATAAGTTCTCTAATGTTCTCCATAATACATCTCACTATGATTATATGACAGGTTTTCAGCAGATACCTTACATGACATTCTTTTAGTGAACCCAGGGGGTTCCTCCTATACTGTTAGACACCCCATTGCCCTCTGCCAGTTGGCATCCAGAGGTTCTTGGGTCACAGTGCTGGTATATGGGTATAGGGTCCCTCATTTGTATTTACATCATATAACAGTTTGCAGAAGCCCCAGACAAGAGTGGAGTGCCATTGTTCTAGGTACTATACAAACATAGTTCCAAAGAGTTTACTTACCTAATATGACATGTAGGTGGTAGGAGGAAAAGGAACACAATCAAATATATACCATTTTTATATCTACATAGGGCCTGATCCAACACCCCTTGAAGTTAATGGGAATCTTTCCATCCATTTTAATGGGCTTTAGATGAGCTCCATACACACTTACTTTACCTATTTACAATAACAAAAACAGCTTGTATCTACTATCCTCATCTGCCCTTCAGCTTATCATTAACTGGCCGATTTCTCATAGGCATCAGACAGATGTGAGGAGAGATCTGGAGAAAGGATAATGATCTCTAATGGATCAGTTCAGCGAGGGCATTCCATGTGTAAGGGCCAGTGTGGAAAAAAGACATGGGTGAAAAAGTGAGGAATGGGTAAGTAAATTAAGTGGCAGTCCTAATGATAAGGCCTCAGTTACAAATACCTGTAAAGCCCTCAGTAGAAACATAATCCTGTACCACTAGAAAAAAAACCAAAAACAACACACAAGAGTAGAATGAGGAAGGGGCCAGGGTAAAGGAACTTTGGCAGTTACAAAGTCAATATTTGCCAACCCTTAAATCTGCCATCAGCTGTTACGATCTTAATTCAGAAAGTGAGACTTTGTTATAGAGAAGACAATTTTCACACATACTTAAAGAGTAACCACCTTAGAAGTTTCACTAATGTTTCATACTTTTTCTTTGATAATTAAAGATATTCAGTTTTAAGGAAAAAATGATACTGATCCTGTCCCACCCTCATTCTTCACTTGATCATGCAGTGCAATCATCATGCTTTATTTGTAATATGTTAATTTTTGTAATAATAGATGGTGATCTCACTGCAGGGTGAAGCAGAAATGTTGATGGATGGAGAAAAAGGCCCTCTCAAATACAAAGTAAAAGCAAGAGAGAAAGTGACTGGTCTTGAAAATGATACGTAATCTCTTTTTTTTTTTTCGAGTTGATTCCTGTAAAAAAAATTCACCTACCGATTTTGTGGAATTGATTGTTTAGTGGGAGTCTTCATAAAAATATTAAGAGCATTTTGGTTTGGTTTGGTTTAGCTGGTGAGAGCAACCTTTTAACTTCTATAATATCCTTTTTAATATGAGTTCTTCCCAGGTCTGTTTAGGCTGGCTACGTGGAATCTTCTGAAATGTTCTAGCTCTGTGTGGGATGGCTTCTCTGGCGATGTACTGCTAGATGTAGGAAAAAAGTTTTCATTTGTGTTTGTACATTTTTTTATGATGAAGTATTGGTATTTGCGTAATGTTGTTCTCTTCATATCATAGGCAGCACATTTTTCTTTAATGATGCAGTCAAAAGTGTGTCCACTTGAGAGCAGACATGCATTTTTGTGGTTTAAAGGGGGCAATTGTTTATTTTTCTGAGAAGCAATACACAGTATCGTATGCAAACATTCTGTAGCGGTATGACATGCAACAATACCAATTCATAATACAATCTCACTGATAGAAAAGTGGCTATTCAGCCACCTAACAAACATTTAATTAGAAGCATGCAAATGAAAAGATCATGTTTGAATCTCTGTTTTGAAAAGGCTGAAAATACTGTACAGAGAATGGTCTTTGAGTCTGTAAAACTTCTCAAATTGCCACTGAAGTAGCTTCCAGTGTTACTGAATTATCAATTTTCCCCCACTAAAAACTGCTGGATGCTCATGCTTAATTGTATGTTGTGTTTAATACTGCCTGTAATTCTTGTGGTAATTTGAAAGGTGGATCTCTGGAGAGATCAGGATAAGGAGCCATATGACCCCCTGGTTCCAAACAGGAGAAATGGGATTCAGCAAAATTCTGAACACTTTCTAAAACATGTTGACTTTTTCACAGAAAGAATATAGCACACTCTCTCAAAAAAATCCTTCCAGTGTCTGGAATTCTAAGTTTCTTTTGTCATCTCATTTAGTAAAAAAACTCAAGAAAGACTGGAAATAAACTCGCAGGTCAAACAGCATATCAATTTCTCCCCCCCCCCCTTTTTTTTTAATTAGAGATTTTCAAGGTGAACACGTGTCCAATTAAGGCCTTGTCTACACTAAACATTTTTTCTTGAAATTTCTTACTGTATATACCATTGTTTCATCTCCACTGGGGAGAATTTGAATGTAGACCAACTGCTGCTGGTGTTTTGAACTATCACATCATCTAGGCCTGTTCTGAACAGCACCAGATAATACAGTGGTGGCTCATCTACACTAGCAATCTCACTTTTGCTACTGCCAGTGGAGAAATTTTAAGTTAAAAAAAGCTAATGTAAAAACAGCTAAAAATACATTTGGAACAAAAACATCCATATGCACTTCTACCACTACATGTATGTGAAGAGCCTAGCTGTGACTCTAAGAACTGCCTTTGGGAGGAAGCTATACTGAACTGCTTTGTTCTGTTTAAGCATTTAAAGGGTGAAATCTGCATTCTGCTTAAACAGAAGATCACACTGGGAAATGTATCCTGTAGGAATCTTGTAATTTGATGAGTAGGATCAGTTTCAGTTATGACTTGGTGTCTGCTTCCTGCAATAAAGTTCTGATCCCATGTATACAATTTTAAAAAGAGACTTTCACAGTGAAGCAATTTTGAACAGCGAGAACATACAAAGAAATACATTTGCTTGGGGTTGGTTTGCTATTAATCAAAATACTTGATTTTGGATGAGGGTTCTCTGTCCCCCTCACTTTGGCATTTCTCTTCTTGCAGTGAAGCTTTAGCTCTGAGTTCTGATGTTATAATTTATTGATGAGAAAGTTATTGTGATGTCACACATTCACTATTATTGGCTAAATTCATCCCTGACGTAACTCCATTCATTTCCCCCTTGTGTGTCCTCCCACTCGTCTCTGCCTTCTTCTTCCCCTATGCATGAAACAAACTTACAATCCTTTTCTTTTCATTTTAACTCTTCTAAACACTTATTCCATCATACCCACCCACAAACAGTAAGCCACATCAAATGCCTTTTCAAACAACATTATATGAGTAAAACAAGGGAAGCAGTAAGGAAGGGGGAATAGGAAAATACAGAGTTTGCTCTCTCCCTTGGGTCTCCCAGCACATTTGATCTATATCACCTTTTACATTGGAAATTCCTCAGGGCTGAGATTATTTTAATAAAAATATGATCTGGTATAGCATAGCAGTCACACTGACTATCATGGAGGAGTGTGTTGAAAATCTCTTATATTGCCTAGGAGGCCTAGTCGTAGACCAAGACCCTATTGTGCTATGTGCTGTGCAAACAGAGAAAAAGAC